CCTGGGCAGTCCTATTATACCATACCATACGAGTATAATTCACTCGGTTTTAATTGCAATTAGCGGGATCACTTCCCGTTCTTGCATTGTAAAGGGATTTCTAAATGTAGACCCATTACTAGGAATTGTGGTTTGCGGTTAAACATATCCAAAGAAACTGAGTTTAAACTTTTAAACACCAAATTCTAATATAACATACAGTAAGACACATGTCTAAATCATATAGGAATATTCTGCCAGTAAAAATAATAGATTCTAAATACAGGTATACAAAAATCACTTGATTGTGTGGATTATGTACATTGAAAATATTTTTAATAATTGGTTAATTATACATAATTGAGTCAATAACAAAAATATCAGTTTCGATATTATATAATGGATATTGTGTTAGTTATTATAATCTAGTAAAATAATTAAAAACATTGATTTCATTTACGATTTATACATAACTTAATTACTATCTATAAGTAATAAAGTCGACTAATGATTAGGTAAAAGATTTACAATTCTTAGAATACAATACATTTATAATGAAAATAGGATTTTGTTTTGAATGAAATTAAGTAAATAAGAGAATTATATTTGCATTGATTAGAAATTAGTATTAACAACAGTATCAATCATTTCGTTAACTAAATGTAAAATTATTTCAATTCATAATTAATGAGAAACCCTATAATGGAGAGGAATGGTAGCTCTGATGAACTGAATAAAGATCTGAAATAAATTGGACTAAATTTGGTGTGAATTATGATACCATAAATGATTAATCAAAATAACTGTAAATAAATGCTTAAATGATTTGTAAATTTGTATCTAAAATTCAAAAAATGAGTAAACAATTAGTCAAAAGTGAAAGAGTTGTTGGTTTTGTAGGCATTGAGTGAACTCATGGTAAATGACATGATTTACACCGAAAATGAGTTCAACTCTTTGGCGGACTTCGCATATAAATCGTTGCAATCTTTCACTGTTTTCGCGATTGTTTCGCAACTTATGACTCAAAACGACGATAAGAATAGCAATGAGTTGCGGATGAAAGTGACCGTAGATTTGGAAACTGAGGCCAACATAGGTTTCGCTCAAATGACTGATTGCCTCCCAATTGGGGCTCACTTTCAGTGTCTCCTTCTTTAGCCTTCGTTTGCAGCTCTCAAACAACCGGTAATTAATACCGAAGTCATTGTTCAGACATTTACTGCATTTGCACTCAAAGTAGAAGAACTCATTGAGTCTATGGTATCGTTGATCGCGTCTCAACTCAATGTCGCAGTAATTGATTGTAATCTCTTCGCCCACAGCTATCGGTCGGATGGCTTTGAGCACAAGAGTTAATCCGTAATAAGTGGTCGCAGAGTTGGGTGAACATGAATGGTTGAGAATCGACGCCTTGATATAGAGGGCCGAAGCCATGATCTCGTGTTTCTTGACTCTGAAGTCGATGATTGTGAAGCGATTGATGAGTAAACGTCCAAAGAGTTTGAACAATACGTTACGGCTTAAGACAAATCCAAACTCTTTGGCAAAAGTGGCGAAACATTGGTATATGTCGTCAAAAATCATTTGTCGCTTCTTATCGTCGGTTATGTGCTGTGAATGTGTCTGCAAATCATTAAAACAGCGTTTGTTTCCGTCATATAAGCGATAGTTCTTCGTCTGAATGGAGAAGTGTTTGTCATTAATAACCATAAGATATGATCGGAGTATAAGTCTTGAGAAACTGGTCTTCAGATATTGACCGTAGTATTGGCCATAAATACTACACTCCAGTCGATGGACCTTCGAGTCACGTCTTAGACACTGATGACTGCAGTAAAACATTTGTCTGCAGTGTTGGCAGTGATGGCTATTATCTCGTTGGTGGCCATCGATGGTAAGCAAACAGTAATCGCAAACCAATCGCTTCTTATAGTCACACAAAGAGTGGACAAACGGTTTGCATTCAAAGATGTGATCCCCGACTTCGTAAGCTTTTGTCGACATCGATGGCAGTGTTGCAGATAATGACAGATTGTCTCAATTCATGGCATATTTGGTCACAAAAAGGGTTGAATTGCGCGAAGAGTTGAACGCATTGTGCGCTGCAGTGAAGCCATTGTCCGCACATTCAGGCAATGCGTGCACCGATTGACAGCCAATCGGCAGTGCTTTCACTCGCACTGTAAGGCACTGTAACACCGCTTAGGCTTACCTTATGTTCACCACTATTCTCATCAATTGTCTTATCATTCATTTCTATACCATTTAGTTCACATTCATGCCATACATTTTCAACACATTCACTCACTAGTCAGTTATATCAGTGTTTTTTACATACAGTATATCACTTTATTTACTTTGCTTTCAAATAGAAAATTAGTCACAAATATTTAGCCTTGATTAATAAGATATAAAATTACTAGTCTAACCATATTACAATGGGTTAGGGTTTAGTGATTATTAGTATTGTATCAAATAACATTTAAAACTATTTATTAGTATCATCTCTCTCTCTCTCTCTCTCTGATAACTTATTGTGAAAATAAATCGTTTGATTGACTCTCATATCATTTATTCATTTAAATTGTTTAACATTTTTAAAAATAAATATTTCTCTGAAAACAATAACAACTCATTAAAAATGAATTAAATATGAAATAATTGGTATATAAGTGTAAAATTGATCTAAAATTAGTTGATGTCAGTAGTGATAGGTGTGTCCATTCTGGTGTCCATTCTGTTGTCCATTATATACACCGTTGCGGATGTGATTGAACCCTAAGTTATGGTGAGAAGTATTGGCGTATTTGAGTAACAAATTGGAGTCACTCTTAGTGTAGGGAAGGATTGGTTTTCGTTTCTCTTCTTCCATCGCATCATATTTGGCCTAAAAATGCATTCATTTGTTCATTAGATTCATAACACTATACAGTACTGTATATCACATCAAATGCCATTTAACGGCCGAAAGTGACAAACAAATGATTACTTTATTATAGTAGAAGACACCGAAGATGGCGACAGACATTCCCAACGCATTCATAGGAGTGACCGGATTTCTGAACATAAGGACAGAGCACGTGATGATTGCGATCCGCTTGGAAGCGTTGCACACGGCGTATGTGAGTGGCGTCACCAACGATAAGACGGTAAATGCGATCACATTCTGCAGAAAGTTAGCCAAACCGTCGAGGAATAAAAGCATTCCTATGGCCCAACCATCCAGTGTTGTGGTGCTCTCGCTGTACACAATGTCAAGGAAGTCGTGCCAAAACCAGACCGGAAGGGCCATCATCAGCGCCAATCGGGCCAACAGGTGAAGCAGTCTTAAGTGGTGTAATGATGTCTCGCGTAACACCTGTTCACACAATTAGATATCAATGCAATTAAAATACACAACTCTTTGGTTGAGTGCAGAAGTAGTGGACCTGTTTTGAGAAGATATTCTGCAACGAGAAGACAAAGATTGAGAAGAGCGCCGAAATCAGACCTATTATATTGAACTCCAGTTCCGTTACGGTGGCTATCATTATGCCGATCACTATCGGCGCTAACGATAGATATATCTGTAGTAATGAGACATTCAATGAAAATAGAGTCAAAGACGTGAAGAATATGTCATACTTTAGTGGTTTGTTTCTCTCCCAAGAGAACTCTCGACAGAATCACAACAAAGAAAGGCATCGATGCCTTCACTGCAAGCATACAATCAGTGGTTAATACATGATATGACAAGAAGTCTGTGGCATAAGGTTGTGGTCATTTGAACACTAATACCACAGCACTTATAATGACTACAATTACTTTATAACAGATTATACTAAGAGGTGGTGAATATAGTGTCCAAAAGAGCAGAGCTCGTGGGAAGCGATGGAAGTGATACCTGTGTGAGCGTAAGACACGGGAACAGCCCATAGGCTGATGTGTGAGGACACGGAGGCGAAGAATTTGCCGAAAGCCAAGGGAATGATGATCTTGAGATAGTAGGACCACTCGATGACCGGCTGTCGTTTGCCACCTTTGATGAGGGATAGGGTGGGCAGCGAGTAGATGGTGATGGACAGCAACTGGACAATCGTGACGGTGATGGGGTAGGGGAAGGACTGGAGTAGGAGTTTGCCGATCACCGAATTACCTGCGCTCGTGATGTACCACAACAGGCACAGCACCACCACTCGCGCCGCCGTATGCCGACCATTNAACTGGACAATCGTGACGGTGATGGGGTAGGGGAAGGACTGGAGTAGGAGTTTGCCGATCACCGAATTACCTGCGCTCGTGATGTACCACAACAGGCACAGCACCACCACTCGCGCCGCCGTATGCCGACCATTTGGCATCGCTCACCACTACCACGATCACTACCACTATATCTACCTTGCTAATTGTTAAATTACTAAATCAACTATAGGTATGGGTCACTAATGCAGCAAATGTCACATTTTGGTCACAGACTGTCATATGCTATGCTTGTAAGCACTGCAACGTGTACTCCACTCCACATTCAATACACAACCAAAACATTGCACTCTTTTATTCGCGTTTGGCATTCATTGCTATGCATTCAGTCAACAATAATATGACTGCAAATGTATTTCCAACACATTCACATAATTGGGTTAATATACTGAATGTCAAACAACTGGTGAACCATTGGTGACATTCACTACTGCATGAAATTGTTTTATCATGTAAAAAGTTGCCTCGTCAGTTTGAATCACGATTAACTTGCATTTCACATTAAATTGAATCTCATTGAATTTAATATTTTAACATTTTTTTTGTAATTTCCAATTTATTTGAACCATTTATTTGATAAACATTTGGGCAAACTTTTTGAACACTTATTCATTGCTTTTAATAATATAATTCTTGAAATTCTGTGTGCTCTACTTTATTATGTTATAGAGTTTAAAACTAAAATTTAAAAGTAAATATTTTATAGCTAATGTTATTTAAATTATATCCATAATATGCAGGATTAAGAAAACATTGCAAACGTCGAGGCATTGAAATTAATAATAAGTATTGAATTAGCAATTGTTTAACTATTAAATTATTAAAAGTTTACACTACAGTATGATAGACCAAAAGCATTGTATAATGAAATAGTAATTTCACAAAAGCCTCTGTTTTACAGAATCTGTAGAATGTCTAAAGAATTGCACATATTTTGTGATTCAATGGAATAAGTTATTATTAAATTCTTATCTATATTTATATATACAGATATAGATTGATATAGATTCTGTATTAATGAATTTAAAAACCAGAGCCTTAAAAGGCCTTGAAGTTTATCCATATAAATTTTAAATAGTTACTGTATAACTTTAATTGAATTAAAGAAGTTTATCTGTTTGTATAACATAAGTAATTAATGTTAAATAAAGTTATCGTTGTTTTTAAAAATATCTTGTATAACTCTTAGTGCATTAATCCTGATAAAAATTATTTATTAGAATATTCAATAAAACATCCGAATATCGATTATACACTGTTTTCATAATAATTATGATAATTCATATAATAATAACTATTATTGTTGGTTGCCTTATTTGTTTAAAAGTCAAAACACTTCAAATGACAGTGGTCTTTTATGGATGCATTAATTCCACTTTACTGTTAATCCTTATTGGTGAATATTATTAAAATATTCATTACTAATTATGTTTTATTTCAGGTAATTTAATAGATATAGTATCATAACTTAGAATGAATAAATGAAAATATTATTTTGTAAAAATAACTAAAACAACAATAATTATCTAATTTTATGCAAAACTTCTTCAACATTTATTTAACCATAGATTAATAAATAATAATCTAGAACAAAAGATTTAATGTTAATTTATACCTGGATTATCGTTTTATATCTCATAAAAATTTTGTATTGCCTGGATGTCATCTTGCTAATTTTTAGAAAGATAATGTGAAACCAAAAATTAAAAATGTCAAGGATACTTTATACTTTTAATAAAAATATTATATGATTTATACTTAAAAGTTCGTAACAATATTCTTATCTTATACACTGTATTATTACATATTAGTTATTAACACATTACACATAACAGATTAACACATAATTTGGGCTAATTTTTATGGGCAATACTTATAAAATGTTAAAATAAATTGTGATTTTATCGAAGATTATTACGCAAGCTTATACTTATATTAATTATAAACATTTTAGATTACTGAATGG